TTAGATGGTGGTTGGAGGTAGTCGACAGGAAACTCTGGACCCGGCTTTCGTGCTACTTGGCACTCGTCAGCAATGTGTACCTGTAATCTTGAGGGAAATGGTGCTCGCTAGTGGATTCGATCTCGTGTCATCCAGCTTCACAGTCAGAGACGTTACCACTGAGCTATCCGAGCCGCGACATGTGGTGTGAAACGTAGTGTTAAGATAACAGATTGTGTGTATACGTAAGTGGTGTGAGAAGAAATTTCATTCAACTATATATTGTCTTCGGTCTGTGTATATTAGGAAAACATATCATTTTATATATGATATGAATCAATAATGTCACAGCATGCATTAAATGAAGATAAATAAACAAGATAAGGAAACAAGATAAAAGACTGAATTCAAAGAGGAATGTATTTGTAATTGAAAGTTCGTGTTATTTTAATGTTCCAGTTAATTGTTTAACATATTCAGATAAGATAACTGATTTGAACCGTTGAATTTATTATCTATTGATTAAGTAATATGATATAGATAGATAGAATTGAATAAGGAGTTCAGGTTTACTTATTAATTATTAGTTACCATGGGACAACCAGTTGTATTCCATCTCTCCTATTAATACTGTTTGAATTAGCCCATATATGTAGGGTTTCGGCTGTTAGTCGTTCTTTGTAAGAATTAAAGCCTTTTTGAATGGTTCTTGCACCATTGAAATCAATTGTTTGACCCGATTCTATTGAGTGTAATGCTATTGCTGTTTTGTTCTCAAGTTATTTTTACATCATCTGAGGATTTAAGAATGTGTTTTACGCACAGTTTGTGTTCCTTCACCCTCACATTATGTTATTTAAAGTGTTTGTGTTTATCCAAAGTTATTCTGCTTTTAGTTCGGCGATCAGTTTGAATTTTCATCTTAACTAATATGTATGTGTCCTCAAATTTACAATCTGATTTGCAAAAAGGGTTAAGACGATTCACATGAATATATTAATTCTATATGAAAAATTTTATATAATACATATATGTGTGTGGACTACATTACCTTGAACTATTACATATTCATGTCAAATTTTGCCTGGTTTATACAACTTTGCACTCATATAGCACTATTTCGTAGTTTCAATTGTTGATCTGATTGGGATATAATAGTCCTCAATATAATAATATCAACATCACTTGGTGCTGGCACTAAACTAAATTTAACATATAAATAACATAATATGTAGGTATAGGGTTATAGAAATTATTGAATTTCATTCAAATCTATGTTGAACAACCACTGAAAACCTGGAAGCACTGAACAGCCGTTTCTTCCAAGTATTGGACTTCTCAGTAGTGCACATCTACGATTCTGCATGCAGCAATAGGACCCAAGACCTCGAACCTAGTGCACGAGCACTTAACCTCTAGACCACTGAGTCGGCATCCAACTTAAATTAGTTTAGGATTTCCACGAGATTCAACAATATCAACAACTTTTGATTGAGATCATGAACCGATTGATGTTAGACCACCACAAGTGGAAACCTGGAAGCACTGGACGGCCGTTTCGTCTTATTGTGTGATTCCTCAGCAGTGCGCATCCACGGTCCCGCTCGCAAGATCCGAACCCAGGGCCTTCAGTCTCGCGCGCGCACCCTTAACCTACTGTACCACTGAGCCGGCATCCAATGATCTTAATGTCTAACCTCAACCCTATATTTACACTTATCGATTCTTCCATAGTTCTTTTTCTTATTCGTCCTCCTTGATGAGAGTTTCCCGATATAATTTAACGTATGTACACCGATATTTTAACAATTATTACTATCATGTTCACGTTGTTGAAGCAGCTGAAGAGAAACCACAAAATAACACCACTTCAAGTTATTATTGCAATGTTTATTGTTCCTGGTTTATGATTAACATTGTGTTGTAAGACAGCACTATATATAGAATTATATGTCATTTTAATTTTATTTTCATCATAAAGTTATCAAGAAAAACTATCAATAATACCATCATCTTGTTTAAAAACATTATTTCACGTAACCATGGTGTAAATCCTTGATTTAACTTGTATTATTATTATTATTATTACTTTTTCATTCTGTACTATAGGGCGTTGGAGATTTGCCTTCTTCAATGTCATCTTCAGCTGGTTCTCGCCGTAGGGGGTTTTCACCAGCGACAAGATCTCGTGGACCCAGTGCTGGTGGTCTTGGTTCCAAAGCCTAATATATATATATATATATATATATATATATCCCTCCCATTTGCATATCCTCTAATTTCTGAATACATTTTCAACTTTTGGTCATTGCTAGTCTCAACTTTCTTGCAAATCCGCTCATATATATATATACAAAGATTGTTTTATGTCTCTCCAGTCTTGTTTTAATTTAACTAACACATAATCCCATCTGGTTTTTTGTTCAACTGTAAATGTTTAGTTTTCTCCCAAGAGTTTTTTTTTTCTAAATGAAAGGATAAAAAGTAGAATAATGATTTTTGTATTCTTGAAGTACACAGTGTTGAGTGATTGAGAACATTTTTCTTATTATAAATATATATACATATTACTATTAAGTAGTAATAATACAGAGTAGAATTATAGTGTTATTGTCCTGTGATTTTTTTTGTCTAGTTCACGTCTTGTATTTTTGTAACACTATTTTATATTCCTATCCTCTTAACCAAGAAACAAAAAAAAGAAAAAAAAACAAAAACAAAACAGATTGTCACTGTGTAGTGACTAATAATTTGAATTTTTTGTTTGTTTATCTCCAAGATAGTCTAATTTATTTATTTAGTTTCATTCAACAGGAAAATTGATTAATTAATTGCACAATACTTTATTCATATAAAAGTGATATTGTTTTGATGAACAGAAAAAAAAATTACATTATTTTGTTAAAACTATAAATCTCTTAGTTGTTACGTAATTGTTTGTAATCTTATGTTAATGATACATTGTTGCTTAATTCAATCTTCTTTACTTGATTTTCTTCTTTTAGTATTTATACTTTTTACTTAGAATTGTTATTGATAGTAACTAAGTAAATATTAATGTTAATTTTTTTTTCATCTTTAATCAATCGCTCATGATAGAGTAGTTACTATGGATTAAGCACATTCTTTCTTATGTTAACACTTTACATTTTAGTGTGCACGTACAATTTTATGACTTTAACTATTTTATATTCTTTATTATTGTATTAAAAGTGATCACGTTTGTTCCATATCATTTCTATTATCTATTATATCAGTTGTAGATTAATCTTTGTTTATTCCATATATACATATTTGATTGTTCTTCTTATTTTTTTAAATCGTATCTTATTAACCTGTCGATTCAATGTTTTAATCCATATTGATACATTGAATTGATAATAGTTTGTTTAAAAAGAAGAAAAGTTAAGTACATTGAATTGCTCACGAATATAATGTCTTTTATAACTGATTTTTATTTTGCTCATAGTGTCATAATTGTCATAATTATCTTATATATATATATATATATATATATATATATATATATATATATATATATATATACTGTAATATCCTTTGATATTAGGTCAATGTTTTATTATTATTATTTTTTTTTTGTTGTTGTTGTAAACAAAACAACAAGAAAGGAGGGGAGTATCTATTGACTTATTCCTTTTTCTTTCTTTTTGCATGTATTCAATTATGGTTCCATATGTGCCTCGTATAGAATTAGAGAAGGTAAACTCAACTACACATATCGATAACGTCTCTCTTTTACCACCCCCCTCTCTATCTCTCTATTCCTATATATTGATAGATGTGATCATAAAATTTATTTGACTTTATTCATTTATCATAACAACGGTTATTATTACTAATATTACAATTATCGTCTTATTCAGATAGTTTTTTTTTTGCTTCAATAAAAGGTTGTTTAGTTTTTCCCTTCTTTTTTTTTCTTTCTTTCTTCAAAAAGCACAAAAATGATAGTGATTTTTCACCTACCAATTTGTTACTATCTCTCTTGATGTATTTGATTAGATCTTGTGAATATAAACTAATATGATGTATTGAATGAATTCAAGCACAAATCACACAGAAAACCTATTTTGATCTTTATATATATAGATATTTTTTTTAATAAAAAAAAAGAAAAGAGAAGAAAAGAAGAGAAAAAAAACTTTCAAATAACTGTCAGTGTTTGTGTTTTTTTTGTTGTTTCTTTTATGTTTTAATTTTGTTTCCCTTGGAACAATAAAACCGCATTATACAATACAATTTTATTCTTAGAAACAATATGGATAAACAACCCATATCAACATGAATGGACCTATACATATATATATATAAATGAAATATATATATTTGAAGTTACTTTGCAAACATTTTGTCTTTATGTTTTGATTTAATTTCTCGTTGTGTATGTTTATGATTGTTTGTATGGAGTAATGTTTATGAATGACATCATTATTATAATTACGTGTTATGAAATGACCAATGGATTCAATCCTGTAGCTTTAAGTTGACTTCATTATTGACAATCAATGATTATTTCCATACATATTCTGTTGATTATTCTGATTCATGACAACCTTCAAGTTTATAAGTCAATAATTGACCAAGAGTACTTACTTACGCCTGTTACTCCTCACAGAGGACTATAGTCTGCCTACCAGCACTCTCCATCCAACCCTGTCCTGGGCAATCATTTCCAGCTTTTTCCAGTTTTTATTCATCCTTTACATATCTACTTCTATTCCCCGATATAATGTGTTCTTTGGTCTTCTTCTTTTCCGCTTCTTTTTCGGATTCCAAGTTGGGGCTTGCCTCGTAATGCAGTTGTGGTGGTTTTCGTAATATATGTCCTATCCATTTCCATCGTCTTTTCCTAATTTCCTTCTTAAACTGGAAGCTGGTTTTTTCTCTATTGATCAAGATAAATATGCAAACATATAAAGGATAGGCAAAATGATTTCTTTTCAAAAAGCTAGAATGAATGAATATGAGTATTTCAAGGAGTCACTGCTACTTTATGTTATCAATAGAGACTACTTTTCTGTTATCCTTGTCTTGTATTCAATTTATTAGTGTTTTGTCACATATGTACTTGTGTAGTGAACAAGAACATATGTGAAGACAATCGAATATATTTGAACATAAAGTTACAGAACATCTTAGTAAAATCTCAGAACCATATAATAAATACTCCATTTGTAAAATGTCATTCGGTTGTCTCAAACTTGACTGTTCCTTTTGCAAATATCAGTCAACCGTCTAAGATTTCATTGTTCTTTCGTTTCAGAACAAATAATTCTTTGTTTTCGTTTTCTTTTCTTCGTTCTTCTTAACCTTCTGTCTCCAGACATTTCAATTTCGATTGATGAAAAATACTACTTATATCTGTCGACATCAGTAGCATACACCACACTCGTTGTAAGCATACCTGTCCTGTTGCCTTTTTTTGGAAAAAAAATATTCAACAGTAGGATTCAAAAGGAATTTTGAAAATATTCAATTGAATTTCTTTCCTTTTCCAGTTTATTAATCATAATCTATTCGAGATTAGTTTAATTTCCTTTGGTGCTCATATCAATGTATGTAGTAAACAGTGATCTTATTTCGTTCAAATATTGTAAAAGTAGCTCTTCTTCCTCAGGTCGTTTCAGTCAGGTTTGTTATGCTCCTAACGAAATCCTAACTTAAGATGGTTATAATAAATTTGAAAGCATAATGGCTTGATATAAAACTGCATAGCATTTTTCATTATGATGGAACCTGTAGTGAAATCCGAATAATCTCAGATTTTGATAAGCTACAAACAGCTATACAAAACTGCATTACGATTATTTACAGTCACGTATTAGATATTTACTATCAAAGTTTGATAACCATGTTATCGTAATATGTGATATGAATTTCGAATAACTGTTGCGTTATTTAGTCATTTAAACGGATTTTTTGATTTAGTTTTATTTGATGAATGAAATTCACAAGAACTGGCGAATAGAAGTGTGGATTAATGGACCACGGATCAGTAACTAATGTCCTTCTTTGCTTAGGAGTACACAAATTCATTGAACTAAGTGGCTCGTGATTGTAATTCATTGTGTTTAACATTAAGCGATTGGCAAGAAGCTTTAACCTATACATGTAACAAGTAGTTTAACATTTATTATTAAGAGAAACTTACTTTATGGTTCTTTGTAATGCTATTTCAATAAAAACATGTATTTCACTTCATGTTAACTGAAAAATGAAGGTTATGAGTAAAATGATTATTTGATTCGTATCATGACTACAAACATCACTTTTATACCCACTATGTATTCCAAGCATTAGCTTTTGGAGATTGTTGTATATCGGGGAACGTGTTGATACATTTTTAGTTGTTAATTAATCAGTAGACTTTCTGTGAAACGATGTTTTATTAACTTTATTCAATTAATTTATTTAGTATTATCAGAATGGGTTTTGTGGAGATTTTAGAAATTCACAGATTGAAATCATGAGTCAGTTGAAGCTAGACCACCATTGAAAACCTGGAAGCACTGAACGGCCGTTTCGTCCCAGTATGGGACTCCTCAGCAGTGCGCATCCACGATCCCGCACCACGCGGGGCTCGAACCCAGGACCTACTGGCTTCGCGCGCGAGCACTTAACCATTAGACCACAGCCGGCATCCAACGGTGTAAGTGTCTAACTTCAACCAATCCACGAAGTTGCGCCACCGTACACCATTGTCTTCAGTGAGTTCCTATCTCACAACAGACCTGGTTGAACTCCACTGGTAACGGCTTCTCACTAGAACTTCGGGAGTTTTTCCTGAAGTCAGTCACTAGTGAGCAGTTGATTATTATTATCAGAATGGGTTTTGTGGAGATTTTAGAAATTTCACAGATTGAAATCGTGGATTAGTTGAAGTTAGACATTAACACCGTTGGATGCCGGCTCAGTGGTCTAATGGTTAAGTGCTCGCGCGCGGAGCCAGTAGGTCCTGGGTTCGAGCCTCGCGTGGTGCGGGATCGTGGATGCGCACTGCTGAGGAGTCTCATACTGGGACGAAATGGCCGTCCAGTGCTTTCAGGTTATTTAGTATTGTCGATTAGACTATCTACTTTACATATATTAATGATTCATTAAGGTTTTGTAATCTAGCCCATGTCTAAGCATAATTAACACTATCCATCAATTACTTTTAATATCGAAATAAGTAATATTTACTAATGAGTTTATAGGTATCGATGCCAAAGTTGAACTTGATAGTTTCTAATAAATTGAGCGTTGGGTAGAAAGTTAATAATAAATCCATATTTTTGTAATATTCCAATGGGAAGAAAAATTGTATTTCTGACGTTTTGCGACTTAATGTAAGCCACTTCTTCTGAGTAGATTGAAGAAATGACTTACACTAAGTTACAAAATGTCAGAAATACAATTTTTCTTCTCATTGGAATATAAAAATAAATGTATTTCTTATTAATATTTAACAAATAAATATGTACACGTTTCTATAGGTCACGAGTCATGTTGGTAGATGCAGACTACTTGGTTGGGGTCCGCGTGACTATCGTAACCAATGGTTGTAGACTCTGGGTGACATGGCTCAGAATCTATCACAATGACGAAGGTGTATACACTTTCTGTCTCCCCCTAAACTAAGAGATTAAAATCGCTTCATATCTTTCTATGAACTAATTTTTTCTTCCTGTACTATATCCTTATATGCAATCTTTCTTTTGTATATCACCACCTCTGAATTAACTACTTTTATGAATCCGGTGTTCATCTTGTTGTTGTGTTAATGAGGTATGGCAACCTGGACCGATGCATATATGTGCCTGGTCCGACGTTGTCGCTGACTGAATGTTGGTTACGAACTCAAGTAATTAGTGAATTATCCTGTGGTAAGAACATTTTTAGAAGCTTTGTGTGTTAGTTGTTATTTGATAGTTAAAGTTATTTGTAGACAAGTCATCAGTTTACTTTAAAGATATATTACAAATAATACTTGTGAAAGCCCTTAGTTTTTAGATAAGACTATGTGAAATACCTTAAACAGAGAGTTTTCAGGTTCTAATTGAGACAGCATATAATCAATTTCAGTGTTAAATTTATTCATCTGATAATAATAATGATAATTATCCTATTTTTGACTGGTAGAATAAATGCATCTATGACTAACAGCAAGATTCAAGGCACACATTTCGTCCTAATTCGGACTTGTCAACTGAATACATGATCCCAATTTTTATGTTCATATTGAGACTCAAACCATTGACTATTAGTGACGTATCTAAAATAGGACAAAATTGGATTTCTATATTCCATTGATAGCTACAAATCCAATTATTTTATAAAATCTTCGAAAATTGCTTATTTTGAAGTAATCTACGCAGGGTACATATATTCTTACAAATACTGATTAAGATTTAGTCATTCTTATAAACTATTGGAAAGTTAAAATCTTTTGTAATGATATCACACTCTTGATGTCTTTCCGTGAAATTTTTATTTGTTTAAACACTTAAACATAGGTACAATAAGGAACTAAATAGATATGCGTTACATAAATCAGTCGATTTGTGTGAGGGCTGGGTTAGTGCCCGTGTGCCCTTACCTAATCAAGTGGTTTTCTTAGGAGACCACACCCCGACTCTTTGATCTAAAGGTTTGATCCACAGGGCAGTGGACCAGCGTCAGGAGATGAAGTCCCCTGGTAGCTGGTGACCAACGATTGATTCATACGCCGTTTGTTCCTTCAGGATCCTGGAGCCAGCCCATGTGCACCATTGATTTGGAATCAGGGTTTTCCAACTTCCCTAGTTGAACTCCCCGTGTCCATCAACCCGATTAAAGCGTCGGACATTCGCTTTTCGTCCCCTCAATTCCGTAAGCAACACCCCTGTCCTGAGAATGTAGTGAGTAGGACTTCCCTGGCAGTGATTGTATGCACGTGGCCATGTGAGAGCATTTCGAGAGCGAGAGAGTTGACTCTCCCCACTCTCGGTTTTACCAGGTCATTTGGGGTCCTTTTCGTGGCATAATAGCTACTTGTTCGATCATTATTATCCTAAACATTATCTTGATCCTTTTCCTAATAATATCTTTGATATTCTTTTTACCATTTTCAGTCATTTCCAATGATTTACTATTTAATTCTCAAGTGAAACTGTTTATTATTATTATTATCAAGATATCTACTATTTTCTTATATTAACTAATCATAAATATATGTTTGGATATTATTGAATTTTAGACAGTAATGTCGTCGTCTAATTTAGAATCACCTCCATTAATGCGAAAATTATTAATTGGACAATTATTTCATAATGTTGATAAATTGCCAATATATAATTCAATTCGACAAATTTGGGAAATGGATCACCTTGACAACAACATCACCACTACCACCAATAATACTAATAATAGTGTTCTGAAGAAATTATCATGGTGTATGCTTTGGTTACAAGGTAGAATCATTAAAAATTATCAATCACCTAATAGTAATAATAATAATTTCATATTAGATGATGGTACAGGTGAATTATTAATTATTTATGATTTAGACAAAAACCAACCAGTCAATTATAAAGTAAATATTGGAGATTATGTTGCTGTAATTGGTAAATTAGTTCAACCTAATAAAGATAATAATAATAATGATTATGATGATGATAAAAAGGAATGTCTAAATGGTTGGCATATTCTAGCTAAAAGTGTTACACATTTAACTGATCATATTATACAACAAGATAATGGTGAATTATTATATGCATCATCATCGTCATCATCACAAAAGATCATGTCGAATTCAGCATTTTATGAATTATCTTGGCCTTTAGAAGTTATAGATATGACATATTCTGTATAAAATTGAATATGTTTTGTAAATACTATTTTTTTTATAATGTAAAATAAAAATGTTCACATTGACGAATTTGTTTTATACTTGTTATTTAGTTTTCTGTTCAAGTATTCAAAAGTTTGAAGTGATTCATATTTCCTTACAGTTTATTTTAGATTGTTCAATAATTTAATAGTCGAATTCATGAGTCAATTGAAGATAGACCTAGAAGTACTGGACAGCTGTTTCATCCTAGTACAGGACTCCTCAGCAGTGTTCATCTACGATCCCACTCGCGGGATTTGAACTCAGGACTTATTGATCTCGCGTACGAGCGCTTAACCTCTAGACCACTGAACTGACCAGCATTGTGCGGCGTTAATGTCTAACTTCAATCAATCCCTTTTCAACAATTACTGTCCAGTGATTACGTAGGGTCTTATAAAGTAACATATCACTGTAATTATCTTTAGAAAAGTGTAAAAATTATAATCAAGCGAAAAATTACAGCTTATTTTAAAATGTAATACGAAGTATTATTTTACAATGATTCTTAGTTATCTTTAATTTATGCATTAAGAATTCAGTTGAAAGTTCATATCCATTTTCAGCTATTTCATTTCAAGTACTTGGATCGCATTAAAATCCTTAACATAAAACGTGTACTAGACTATGCTTCTTGTACATTTTGAATGAAATTTTTATGACCCTTTTTCCTGCATGCTCAAACTTTGAGACCTTCATTGATGTTTAAAATTCTGTTTAATTTTACGAACACTATTGGTACAAGTTATCCATTTAGAAAGCGAACAGTATGTAAGTTTGTTTCAGCAGTAGTGCATAACTAGTTCAATCTGTGTAAAATTTAATAGTTAGGCATTTATTCATCAGAAGTGGTTTTGTGGAGATTGTAGTAATTTCAATAGTTGCGATCATGAGTCAATTGGAGCTAGACCACCATGAAAAACCTGGAAGCACTGAACGGCCGTTTCGTTCTGTTGTGGGACTTCTCAGAAGTGTGCATCCACGACTCATGAACTCAACTATTGAAATTACTACAATCTCCACGAAACCCCCTTCTGATATTAATCAACATATGCTCACTAGTGACAGTCTCCAAGAGGTATTTCCTTGAGTTCTAGCGAGAAGCAGTGGACAGTGGAGTTCGACCGGGTCTGTTGTGAGATACTAACTCACTGATGACAATGGTGGATGTGTCGCTGAATTTCGTGGATTAGTTGAACTTTAACATTAACACCATTGAATGCCGGTTCAGTGGTCTAGTGCTTAAGCGTGAGACCGATAGGTCGTGGGTTGGAATCTCGCGAGGCGGGATCGTGGATGCGCACTGATGAGGATTCCCATAGTAAGACGAGATGGCCGTCCAGTGCTTCCAGGTTTTCCATGGTGATCTAGCTTCAATTGACTCATGATCTCAACTATTGAGGTTTATTTATCGTATATGAACACATTAATCTCAATATACATTTTGTACTGATATATGTCATTTTGAGGATTCGCATTGCGATAATTTATATTTGTTCATTTTACAGTTGTATTCTTATTTATACATCAAAAGAGACTAATTGTACCACTGAGTACCAAAGATTAAAATAATCCAACCATAGTTATTTTCTTATCTATATAAACTATTATCTGAAATATTAATTTAATTCATTTGGTTTAATTATTTGACGTTTGATCATGAATTCCGAGTTTGAAGTTTACTTCTGCCTAATTTCGTAGGATTACCGATGATAAGTACGAAAACTTCTCGAAAATTGATTTCATTCTCGAACTGTTATAACCTTCTAGTTGAAGATAAGACAGGTAACTATATAGATATTACTTTCTTACTTACTTACGCCTGTTACTGCCAATGGAGGACAGGCCGCCGACCAGCATTCTCCAACCCACTCAGTACTGGGCATTTCTTTCTAGTTCTATCCAATTTTTGTTCATTTTTCTAATATCTGTCTCCATTTCTCGACGTAATTTTATTCTTTGATCCTCCTCTTTTCCTTTGGCCTTGAGGATTCTATGTGAGGGCTTGCCTTGTAACGCAGTTGGATGCTTTCTTCAATATGTATCCTATTCGCTTCCATCGCTTCTTCCTGACTTCTTCCTCCTCTGGGATCTGGTTTGTTCTCTCCCATATTAGGTTGTTGCTGGTAGTGTCTGTCCAACGGATCCGAAGTATTTTTCGTAGATAATTGTTAATAAACACTTATATCTTGTGGATGATGGCTTTCGTAGTTCTCCAGCTTTCCGCCCCATACAGTAGAACTCGTTCGAGGTAAAGACCGGTGTTAGGCAGGGTTGCTTTCTCTCACCCTTTTTCTTTCTCCTGGTGAATGACTGGATCATGAAGACTTTAGCATCTGAGGGGACGTATGGAATAGAGTGGACAGCTAGGATGCAGCTGGACGATCTAGGCTTTGCAGATGATCTGGCTCTTCTGTCGCACACGCAACAACAAACACAAGAGAAGACGACCAGTGTAGCAGCAGCCTCAGCAGCAGTAGGTCTCAACATACACAAAGGGAAAAGCAAGATTCTTCGATACAACACAGCATTCAACAATTGAATCACACTTGATGGAGAAGATTTGGAAGATGTAAAAACCTTTACATATCTGGGCAGCATCATTGATGAACACGGTGGATTTGATGCAGACGTATAACTTTCGACACGAATAAACACCTTTATTAACTATTGTTTTGAATTACTCTAGAATGTGCCTAACGGAGGACTTGAAAGTTTACCTATAACTAATATACTTTTAAGTTAGTATTCAACACCTCACATTTCTTAAGTTGAATTATGACATGAATCATGTTATATCACATATTGCCAAAAAGAAATTTAAAATATAAGCTAATAGATTCCAACTGAATGATTTGACACTATTATACTCATCACATGGTATAATTGTCTTCATTTCAATTCTATTTCTGAGAGGAATAAGAACTGGGTTAAATTAGTTATCTAGTCTTCCATTATATTTTCAACAATTCTCTAACTAATTTAAATTTGCCGCCTGAGTTATTTCAAAAAATAAATTTCATTCAACGATTCATTAAAACAATATACTGTAACTAACTGTTGAAGAAATACAATAGTATACCAGAAAGATAATAAATGAACAGAAATATAAAGAAAACCTTTGAAACAATAGAATATATAGTTAGAATTCATTATTAATTATTTATATATGATTAGATGGGGAGTTTTATTTGGTATCGTATGGAATAGAGGACATTGGGAGAAACACAATTAATTATTGATATATATATATATATATATATATATATATAAGATTGAAAATAGCTCTGAACTTAAGTCATTATACTAATGGGGAAGTTAAAATGGGAAAGTTACCATAAGAGGGGGGGAAATTTTTTAATCTTATTGAAAATTTATGATAGCAGATTTTAAGAAATGATTACAAGAATTGAGGAACTTTTGTTTCATTCTATGTAAAATCGTCCAAGTTAATTCTTAGACTAGAATATAAAGCTACCTTTAGTCTTTCTTAGTTTTTGTGTAAATGTCAGTTCCTAACAGCAACAACAAAAAAAACAACTCCATCGAAATCTTCATAAAATTATCCAATTTCTTGAATGTATACAGATGACCCAATGTAAACATTACTCCGTATTTTTTTGGAAATACTTTATTGTATACATAGAATACAAGGTGAACAATGTGTTAATGCACTTCATATTTTATTGGTGTGCATAGTATATCGTCAGTTTGTTAGTATGATAACAGGAGAACTTATTTTACTATTCTTACAGTTTACTAATCTAATCAGAGATGAGACTATAACGTTTTTGTTCCAGATAGTGATTAATATCTATGATTCATCCTACTTAAAATATCAGATTAAGATCAAATAACTTTTTCAATACTCTTCATATTCAAGATATGGTGTGTGCTACTTATATCGACATAAGTAGTATATGAAGTTAGTCAGGAACAGAATGTCCGGTAGCAGAGACAAGAGGATCGAACAGTTAAGAATGGAAACATAATGCAATTTGTATGAAAATGCGAGAGCAATGAAGTCTGAGTCATTTTGAGACAACTGATGGTCATTTTGCAAATTGAGCATTGGTTGTTAGATTTTATTAACATGTTCTGTAATTACTACAATCTCCATAAATCCCCCATCCTGATAATGATTTTTCTTTTCATTTCATAGAATTACATATTTCAGTGTGCTTTTCATTATAGATTTCGTTTCAGGTCTTAACTTTTGCTAGAATTATATATATTTTTGTTTGTTTGATATATCGGTCTACACTATACTGAATATGTTCATAATAGACAGTTGCAAACAATTCTAATCAAGTTGAAATCATGAGTCAGTTGAAGCCAGACCACCATTGAAAACCTGGAAGCAATGGACGGCCGTTTCTTCCTAGTATGGGACTCCTCAGCAGTGCGCATCCACGAACCCGCCCCCCGCGGGATTCGAACCCAGGACCTACTGGCTCCGCGCGCGAGCACTTAACTTCGTGGATTGGTTGAAGTTAGACATTTACACCGTTGGATGCCGGCTCAGTGGTCTAATGGTTAAGTGCTCGCGCGCGAAGCCAGTAGGTCCTGGGTTCGAATCCCGCGGGGGGCGGGTTCGTGGATGCGCACTGCTGAGGAGTCCCATACTAGGACGAAATGGCCGTCCATTGCTTCCAGGTTTTCAATGGTGGTCTAGCTTCAACTAATTCATGATTTCAACCTGTGAAATTTCCTAAAATCTCCACAAAAACTCATTCTGAATTCTAATCAAATATGTAATATATGTCATTAATTGTTAAAATACAATAAAAATAGGGTAGATTATAATTTTCCCACTTTCATGATATTTATACACATAGTTTAACAATACATTGTTTCATCATTCATAAAACACAACAAGAGAGGTAAGAATAATTACGGAAATAATTGATAAAAAAAACAAAATCAATTAATTTTGAAGACATTAACGAGTTCTTTAGTATCAGGAAGTTAGTTACCAAGGTACTTAAACATAACTGATCAATATAGGTCTTGTTAGGAGTGTCTACACCGTGTTAATTATTATTTTTTTCTTAAATAATATAATCAAGCTTCATACTACGAGTAAAAAATAACATAGTTATGTTCAATATGAAAGAAACATGTTTAAAATCTGTCTTGAAAACAAAAGGTTTTACGTGTTCAGTT